GTAAAGGGGGGGGGGGGGGGGGGAGGCCCAGTAGAAGGCAGAGGGTCAGGTGGCTGTACCGAAGCCCCCAGTTGGTCTAAGGCAAGGTCCTTTTTGGCATGGGTGCTTGGTTTCAGGATGGTGTATTTTGTGTATTATGTGTTTTTTGGTAAGTCTGAATACCCTCATTAAAATAAAAATGAAAATTCGCTGAAATTAGCGCGTTTTAAAAATGTCATATTTACTGTATATAAAATGAGTAAAGGAGCGACACTCGCCATTCTGGATTTCAGGGGGTGCCTCGGTTCACACTTGATTTAAATCAATATCTACATTTTTCCTACCGGTGTCAGGTGAGATCTAGCTTAAAAATGATTGAATAACGCCTTTCAAACGTCTGCCGATTTGAACTTGCCGTACAAAACATGCAGTAAACCCAAAACCTCTTCTATACCGAGTACAGAAATCGAAAGCAACAAAGGACGATGAAAAATGTAGACTGGGCGTCCCGATATTACACGGAAAATCTAGAGAGAACAAGTTTGGCGCAGTGTCTGACCTCTCTAGTTTTTTTTTCTTCGCCCCCGGAAACTGACAAATTCTTACAAATAAGAGATGTTTTTTCCTTGATTTTAGGACAATGGACATATAAATTTTACATACAAAAATTTCAAACGGGGAGGGGGGGGGGGGGGGGGCAACCCCGGCGTACCGGTGTAACGTTGAATATTGACCCGAGTTGAAAATTGACCCGGGGGTCATTTTTCAACGTTGAATATTGAACCGGGGTCATTTTTCAACGTTGAATATTGAGACTAAAAGTCGTTGAATTTATATCCAGGGTCATTTTTCAAAAGCTTGATAATTTTTTTTCTTACACCTGATGACGTCAACAAGTTGAAAATTGACCCTTTTGAATATTGACCCCACCTCAAAGTTTGAACTTTTTTTAGCTGGGAAGTTGTTTAACGGGATTTATCAGTATCACTTTATTTATATTTCGGTTTCAATTTTTTCCCTTTTCAAGAATAAAAGAAATAAACATACAGTATCACCCCGTGAATATATGTACATTTTGATCAGTGCACGGTTTCAGTTATCTTTGCAGGGGCGTAGCAACAGGGGGGGGGGGGGGGCCGGGGGGCCTGCCCCCCCCCCACTTTTTTCTCAACCTTACCTATACTATAGCAAATGTTAACTGAAGAACTGGTTGCCCCCCCCCCCCAGTTTTAGTGATGTGTCGAAAATGAAGTATTAGAATTGGTACTGAAAGTAGTTGACACTGAAAAAAGAAAAAAGCCTCTACACCCCCCCCCCCCCCCCCCCGAATTAGGATTTTCGACTTTGGGCAATTTCAACTCCCCCCCCCCCCCCTGTTTTTTTTGCTTGTCAACTTTTTCAGGTAAGTAAAAAAAAATTTTCTCCGGCTGCCCCCGCCCCACTTTCAAAAACGATGCTACACGACTGCTTCAAGCATGACAACTTTATTTTTGAAAATACTTTCCAAAATCCATGGCATCCATAAATAACTACAAAACAACGAATAGGTACGACGGCGTATGCCTGCCATTTTAACAATGTAGAATTTTTTTTTAAATCGTTTGAACGATTTGAGAAAAAGTTTGCACAATTTAATAAATCTTTTGTACATTTTGTTTGTTAATTCGTTTGTAAAATTTATTGAATCGTTCATACGATTTATCAAAATAGTTTGTACGTTTTTTATAAATCGTTTGAACAATTTAGGAAACCGTTTTTACGATTTAAGAAAACGTTTGTACGATTTTAAAAAATAGTTTGTACGATTTAATAAATTGTACAAACGATTTAATAAACAAATTGTAAAAACGATTTATTAAATTGTACAAACAATTTACTCAATTGTACAAACAATCTTTGTATCGTACAAACGACTTATTTAATCGTACAAACGACTTATCAAATTGTACAAACGATTTATTAAACTGTACAAACGATTTATTAAATTGTACAAACAATTTGTTAAATCGTACAAACGTTTTTTAAAATCGTTCAAACGATTTTTTTAAAAAAAATTCTACATTGTTAAAATGGCACAAATACGCCGTCGTACGTGCCTATTCGATGTCATTAATATTTAAAACAATCGGTTGCTAGTCGCTAATTTTGTCATTCCTATTCGATAATTTTATCTTTTTTAATCGATGATTATTTGGTTTATATGCAATAAAGTTGTTGTTCGAAAAACATACTACCATCATTTCTATTCGAAAAAATACAATTTCTATTCGTTAAACTTCTCATCTTATTAATAATTTTATCTCTATGATCTCCTATGCGATGTTTTTGTAATTCTTTTTCAATAATTGCCCTGATTGCATTCTGGGAAATATGACAAATTAAACCAGAATTGGTTGTAAACTCATTTAAATAGGAATGTAAAGTTTAACATTATTATCGAATATAAATCATTTTATCACATAGATTGACAAAACAAAATTTGCAAATATTGGGAATAGGGCAGAAGTTTTCTCTCTTCAAGACTTAGAGACTAGAGATCAGCATAAATTAAGCTGTTGCTATTTAATATTAAATAAATGTGTTTCGTTTTATACATTGATGGAGTAATTATAGAGGATTTAGTTATTCAGAATACTAATTTATTTAATTGATTATGTCTTGTATCAATTTTTGACAAAGATATCCAATATGTTTTAATATAAAGTACATTTGGATCCTAATTCAAGACTTAAAGTCATGGATACGTCTCACAAATTACGGAACATTAAAAAATATTAATACAAGTTGTAGTAAATTTTTTTTCAGAAACATCAAGTCATACTCTGTATTATCTTTAATTGAGAAATCAATACTATTTCTGTTTTACAAAAAATTATCTCCAGGCAGGGAGGGGGGATGTCACTCACTTTAATGAAATTTTCTAAAAGGACTCCTGCAATATAGTAAACTATATGATCACAAGAAAAAAAACATGAAGTCAATATGCATTTCAGATTCTATAAATAGTAACTCAAGTCTTTAAGCTGTTATATACTTAATCATGTAATCAAGTTTGAGCCAATCAGAGAGCTTAGAATTAAAGGTGATATCACCCTTTCGTGCTAAATAGATCACCTATTTGAATAAGTGGTATCACCTATTCGAAAAGGTGATATTACCTATCTGAGTTTCTTACAACAGTCATTAATGAATGCTCCCTATAATATAATATATTATATTATACTACACTGGAACCAAGAAAATTCGGACTACCCAGTTTTCATGCATTTTCTACGATTTTCTTGTTGTATACATGATATATAAGTGAAATAAATTAATTTGTAAGCAAAAAAAAAAAAAAAAAAAAACTGCTGTTCGACGGGAAGAGGTGATATCACCCAATCGAATAAGTGATACCACCAATTCGAATAAGTGATATCACCTTTTCGAATTGGTGATATCACAAATTCAAATCAAATAGGTGATATCATCTATTGGAACAGGTGATATCACTTATTCAAATAGGGGATACTACTTTTTGCAGTAAATACCAAAACGGGGCCTCATACCTATGAATTAAATCACAGTAGTGAAAACCCAATCATAAATATGTGTTTTTATTCTGTTGAATTTTGAACCGGTTTCATGATCAAAATTCCACGACCCGGCTCAGTTTTCAACGGATTAGGGTATAAATTCAACACCTTCGGTCTCAGTATTCAACGTTGAAAAATGACCCTCGGGTCAATTTTCAACCCGGGTCAAAATTCAACGTTACACCGGCCCTGGACCCGCCTTTGGATTTGATTTCATTTCCCTTAAAATCTTTTACATAATACCTATGCACCATGCACACTCGCAGTCCAAAGCCTCCAAAGAACGCCTCGCTAATTAGGATTTCTATTTTTCTGTTTGATTATTCTGATTTTTATACATGTATATACAGATCATAAAGTTGTTAGGAGATCTGTTCTAAAATGGTCGATGTAGGGTCCAAGGAAAAAAAATACGAAGCCTGATGAAAGTTAAGAAATATCTGTTCGATTGTCTCCTTTCTGTGGAGTGTTATCTGCATAAAGTCAACTTATATTTAACATTCCACAAAATGATAATTTTAATTATAAAAAAATCTAATTAATTTTTTTTTTATAAACATCGAAAGCCACAAACGGCAGAAAGTGCGACTGTTGTTTCCAACCAGTCGGATACCCACATGTTATCTCGTATTTTACTTATCATGTGATAATTAAATGACAAGATCACCCGTGGGTTTCCAACGATGCCTAAACCTGCACTCCTTGTCTCCTAGAAATCAAAGTACTCAGAAGTACAGAGAGCCGGGCTCATTTACAGAGTAAAATGAATTTCTTACATGAACCATACGTTTATATTGTATAAAACAGATAGATAACAAGAATATCAGATTAAAAATTCTGATGAAAAAATTATTTTAAAACTAGCAATATAGATTATAAGACACTGACAGTGAGTTTTCGATCCAAATACCACGGTCCGATTTTTTCAGAATCAAAATTAATCTGGTACTTCGGCTGAATGTAAACAAACAGGCCAGTCTGGTTCCCTCTCCTGTTTTTCCTCGTTAGTGTAGAGAACTATGATAACACTGATTATCAGAAATCCTTACGCTAATAAACTATGTTCTTTGTCTTAAGACTGAAGTTTTCAAAGTCATTACTACTAATGTTTATTTATTTAGATAAAACTTCGTTTTATTTATGTTGCTTTATTTAGCGTTTGTATTATCTCAGAAGCGGTTGAGAGTAAGAATTATATTTTTACACGTAACTTTAAAATGGCGACTATGGGGGTGACATCCTGTCTTGAACAGGATGACATAAGCCGGCAATTGCTCTTTGAGCAATAAGCCCGGCTAAAAATATTTTTTGTGTTTCCGGTTTTCAATAAAATAAAAAAAAAGTAGAACTTTGAAGTCGTGACGTTACAATCGTGTGATGTGTTGGAGTTTGATGTTATGACGTCACAATCGTGATTGGACATCATAACATCGCATCAACACCACAATGTCAACCATCGGTCGACTTCAAAAGCTACTTAAATCAGAAGAATATTCCGAATTTAATGATGAAAATGTCAATTTAGAGTCGCAGTTTATAGAGATGACACACAAAGGAGAACCTATCAAGTAAGTATTATCCGAGAACCGATTGTGAAAGCATTCGAACTCGATTGCTTAATGATTTTTGTCAAGTTTGTAATTGCATTTCCATTGTATTCTAATTACAAAGAAATGTATATACAATTAACATGTATGTCTTCTTAAAAGTACATTAAGGTGTCAAAATTGTACAATACCTTCCGTAGTACATTCATAACACAAAAAAAAATTCTTTTTTCATCAGACTAAATTCAAATTGACTTTCGATATATCATTTTTGTATTTAAATGTAATTTGCTCCCAATGCTTATAATTTATGCAGGTACACTGTACTTGCAGACAAGAAAAAAAATCAATCCTGGCACTTACTGGATATTTCTTTACAATTATATTTAGAACACTTATTTATTATGTAAATCACAGGGAAAATCGGATGAAAACAAAAATAACTGTTCCATACAATAATACCATACTATAAATTAGACTGAGACCCACCCCACCCATTGCTACAGATCTGTTAATTTAATCTTAAAAACGTTTTCTTCCAATCATTCACCGCTTTTCTTTTGATAGAACCGTCATTGTTGGAATCACTGAAAAGTTCTTCATTGTGGCCAATGACGTCATTAGTGATCTTCGAAAATCGCGCGCAAGTGTCCTTGTAGCTGATGTTGATACTGATACCGTGGACCTGGAGCTTGAATGGGTTGTCCCCATTATTCACGTGATTCCCGAGCCCGTGCCTAATGAGCACGTGCTAGACGTACGTGGACATAATGACCATCATCGATACTACATGGTAGCTAGTACCCGTAGCAACGGCAGCGAAAGCAGAATCTGGTCAAAGTGGATGAAACATCTGGCTAAAAGTAGCCCAACGCCTGAACAGTTTTTACACGAAATACCCAAATTTAAGTTGAAGAATATATTCCACAGAGATAAAACATCAAGTGGAGAAATTGTTGTAAAATCTTCAGTGATTAGCAACATAAAATCAAGAACGTCTTCATTAATGAAATCGTCAAAGAAACAGAAAAAGAACAAAAGTTCTTCTGTCATTCGTCCTATAGATAACAAACTGCCCAGAATCGCGACAGATTTGTATGACACTACTGGGATCATAAAGGAGAAAAACAACCTTCTCTGCTGCTGTCCAAGGAAAAAGAAAAGAGTCAAGGACTAAGTTTAAAACCATAACATACGTATAAATGGGAAAGCGAATTTAAAAAAAAAAAAAGGAACGAGTGAAAGACTTATTTTTAAACCATTACCCTGGTACTAGTATATATATTATAAAAAAAAAAAAACAATTGCGAAGTTTTAAAAAAATGAAAAGAGTGAAAGACTAACTTTAAAACCATTACGTATAAAAGGAAAGCGGCGAATTTAACAAAATAAAAGGAAATCAGCATACTACGGAAGTGTATTGTTGCCACTTGAAAAAAAAGTTAGTCTAAGCCGTACGTACGACATACTAAGTCGCACGTACATGTACGACTATACTGTCTCGTACGTACGAGATACTAAGTCGTACGTACGACATACTTAGTCGTACGTACGAGATAACAGCCTCTGCAGGATTCGAACCCTAGATTTTATACAGTTTATTTTATATTTATCTGTAAAACTGTTAGTTTGTTACAATTCACAAATTACAGAACGATTTTATGCAATAAATAATTGATCCTGACCTGTGACTTTGCCTATTTTCTAAGCCTTATTGCTAGCGCTCTCGAGCGCTAGCAACTACGTTAGTCCAAATTCCTTGAATACGCATGCTCGGCTTCATGGTGGTGCATTCTGGGAAAACTGTGAAAACTACTATAGATAGACCGTGCGATAACAATTTCGTTGTATCATTGAATAACTATGTTTATTTATTTTGTAGCTTACAGTTTAAAGATAACTACATAATTGCAATACTTCACTTCCTTTTTTCTGACGGAAAAGCCCGAGTCATTATCTGATTGTTCTAAACAAAGACAAGGGAGTTTTTTTTAGGTCCTTTATTTACGTCTAAGCACAATCAAAGATAGACTCTAATTTCTGATTGGTCAATTCAGCAAATCTTACAAATTCCAGAAACAAGAATTTACACTAAAAATAACGAATTAATCCATGATTATTTGCATAAAAAAATTCTGATGTGCATGGATTTTTAAAACCTAGCAGTTCTTGACAAAGATGACCCAGAGGACCAAGCTACTTCACAACTTCACATTCGGAACTCTCTGGATTTCTTTACACAACGTACATACACTTTGAGTTATTTTTATATTCCTTTCAACTCCCCTGTATTTTCTTTGCTACATTGCCACGAAATTTCACCCTAAAACCAGCTCATACAATGCCTCAATCGGCATCTTCACCATATTTTATAGATCCCCCCCCCCTCTCCAGTAAAGGTCATAAATGTTCCGTTGCGCCAAAACTTTATTTACACTCTTCTTAAAAGTTGGTTTTTAGGGTGTGTGTGTGCACGCGCGCGCGTGTGACTCCTTTATCAAGGAAGAAAGAATGAATATTTCTTGTCCTTAAACAAAGTATGCTTACATGGTGGAATAGTCTCAGCTGATTGGGCCATTCCAAGTTTTTTCTCTGTTTAGCGTCCACCCATCTTTCAAAAACCTACCTACCTATTCGCAAAAAACACACAAGCCAAAACATAAAACACAGGCTTAAAAGTCATAAATATGACGCTCTTCAAATGATTTGATCTAATTAAACTGCTTTAATAGAAGATTCTGAAATATCTATTCTAAGCAAAAACAAGGGATTAAATGCTTAAAATACACCCAATATAAATTACTGTACAAAATTATTTGGAGAAAATGACAAAATTCAAAACTTTCAACTAAAGTAATCAATTTCAGTCCCCTGATGTTGTGTGTTTTTTTTTTATTAAGGGTTGTCAAAAACCAAGGCACACGCGGATGCTAAACATAGAAAAAACTTGGAATGGCCTTGTTTTTATTTTTAGAGAATAATATTTATGATCTGCATTCTCATAAATGCACAAGATAATTTCTCGTTTTCACAAGAAATTATCTCGTTTTCACAAGAAATTATCTCGTTTTCACAAGATAATATCTCGTTTTCACAAGATAATATCTCGTTTTCAAAAGATATCTCGTTTTCACAAAATAATATCTCGTTTTCACAAGATAATAAGTCGATTTCACAAGATAATTATGTCGTTTTCGCAAGATAATTTTTTTCTGGTATTTAAAAAAAAAATATTTGCGTGTCCTAAATATACCTACGTGGAAAAGGGACCTACTCTGAAATCATCTTTCAAGGCATTCGTAACAACACGGCCATTTTCCAAGAGAAATTATTTATTGTTGACGAAATTGACCGAGTTA